GCCGTGAGCTGCTGGATGAGATGCTCCCTTCTTTTAAAATCTGGGGATGCAAAACGTTTTCGATTCTTGTTCGGGGAAGCGCTGCCTCACCCGGGCCAGAACAGGCGCCTCGGGGCTCCCCGCCTCCTCACAGTCCCTCGTGCAGCTGAGCCCGCCTCAGTTCTGAGAGCGACCTCGTGAAGCGACACAAACACGCCGTGAACACATTCTCAGCCCAGGGACTAGAATCTCACGACTTCTCTCTTTAACACAAGCCACCACACCACACACAGATTGGAAACCCCGTTTCGATGCCGGTTAACACCATTGTGTTAAGCAACATACCAAAACATGCAACAATCCGCAAGAACAATTTGGACAGCAGAGAAACCGCTTTTTCTCCCCCTTGTCCCTCTCGCTCCTTCTCTTCTTCCTTCTTCCTCGTCACCTTGACTCGGCCTGAGAGGGGCGGCTGCGGCGTTGCCATCGCAGTGCATGTCAGCAAGGAAACGGCTGGCGCCAGAGCCAGGAGGTGGAGAAGGTGGCTGCGTGCAAGCCCTGGCTCCGCTGAGCTCCGTCTCGTCCGAGGACGAGGGGAACCCGCTCCTCTCTTTCCTTCTGCAGAACCAGCTCGTGCCCTCAGGCTCTTGCCCAAGCAGCACCGTCTGTCCACAGACGGGGCTCCAACCTGCCCCGGAGATGCTCCTCCGGGCTCACAAGCATTCCTGGCAAGCCCCTCTGACCCCGGCGACACCAAGCCCAAGGGCTGCAGTGCGAACCTGAAGGCTCCCGACGGGGCTCGGCACCGTGCTGGCACCGGGCAGCCTCTCTGCTCCCGAAGGAGACGCGATGCGTGCCCGAGAGCCGTCGCTTTCTCGTGCTGAGGAGGCCACCTGCGGGCCGCTGCGTCTTGCCCCCCTCAGCCAGCCGATCTGGGGCCCCACCACGCGCACTCTCGGCGCGAGGAGCGTCCTGAGCCCCGGAGCCAGGCTCCGGGTATTCATGGCACGGCTGTCCGCTCAACGATTTGGCCTTGCAGCTCAGGGCCAGCCTCCTGCTGCCTTTTGCGCCCACAGAGAGCCTGCTGGGGATTGCTTGGCCGACTCTGAAGCGGCATGTGGAGCATGCGTAGAACAGACAGAGCACATGGATAGCACATGCAGGCACACGGAACGGGCAGGCGACACTGAAGCGTCTTGGCAACCTACCGGAAGGGTGGGTGGCATCGCTGAATTCATTCTGGGGGCAAGAGCTGGTGCTACGGACGGCTACCGGGCAAGGCTTCCTTGAACGAACTTGGTGTGTATGTTGCTCCAGAGGCAGAGCCACGGCCGGAGAGCCCGTGCAGGGTCCCATCTGGAAGCCAGATTTGTTGGAGGAGAGAAGCCCTCTTGTTCGTTGCCCAACCGTGAGAGAGACAGGCCACGCCGGCAAGTAGTTCTACCCGAAAAAGATGCTTTAGTGCGGGTGCGCACAAGCACTGCAGAGCGAGCCCGTCTCCGGTCGGGAGCAGCTGCCTCAGTCCTCATGCACAGCCAATCCATACATTTTGCGTTTGGCAGTGATCAGTCAGAGAAAATGTCCTAGCAGAAAACATTTGGTGATTTTTTGTACTGAATACCTTCTTCCGAGGAAATCAGGCCCGATGAGCACCGTCCCGAAGCCATGAAATGGCTGGCAGAGGGACCCTCAGAGCCACTGGCTATTATCTTTGGTAAATCTTGGAAAAGAGAAGTGCCAGTCAGCTGGAGAAGGGCTAACATTGCCCCCAGCTTCAAAAAAGGGAGAAAAGATGAACCTGGGAACCACAGACCACTTAGTCTGACATCAGTCCCTGGAAAAACTCTGGAGAAAATTAAATTAAAAATCAGTCTGCGAGCACCTTGAAGAAAAGGTGACGTTCAGCCTTGAGAAGAGAAGACTGAGTGGGGACATGGTATCAGTCTAGAAGTCCCTCAAAGGCTGTCCCAGAGAGGAAGGCCAAGATCTCTTCTCGCTGGTGCCGGAGTGCAGGACACGGAGCAATCAAGTCAAGCTGCGACGAGCCAGATTCAGGCTGGACATCAGGAGAGCAACACAACAGTGGGACCGGCTGCCCGGAGAGGAGGGGGCTCTCCCCCACTGGGGACATTCAGGGCGAAACTGGGCGGCCCCCTGAGTGGGATGGCATGACGTGGGGCCCTGCAGCAGCTGGGGCTTAGATGCGATGGCCTTCTGGGCCCTTCCAGCCCCGCTATTCCATGAAAACTCCTGCCTCTGGGCTTCTCTTCACACATCCTGCCCTTCTTGACCGAGGTTTCTTTTACGTGTATTCCCGACCCTGTGGGGTCTCTCTGATAGGACCCTAGGTCACTGGCCCTTGTAGCTTGGCCCTCGGGGGAAATTGCGTGCTTCCCTGGCTGCTTTCCGGGGGCCGTGGGGGGCTTTCTAAAACTGTCCCAGCGGCTCACTCGGTGTGGACAGTCACGTCCAGAGACGCACCGAATTGTCACGGACAGGCCTCCCCTGGCAGGTTCATCACCATAGCGAATGCCGGCTAATTGCCGTAGCTAGCCTGTATCATTCACGTCTCCTTTTGTAGATGCAAAGGTTAGAGCAGTGCCTCTTGTTTATTACTTAAGTTTATTCATCTCTCAAAAGCTTTTCTATCCCGCCCTCATCAATGCCCTTACTACTAGATGTAGCCGGAGCGTTTTCCATGGTTGGAAATCCAGGGGCTGGCGACTGGCGGGCGCTGGCAGAGGCCCGGCAGGGGAAGGCCGGCCCGTGGGCCACACAGGGCGGGAGGACCGTGTCCGGAAGCAGCACCAGCAGGAGGGCCAGCTTTCCGGGCGTCGCGTGTGCCTGAGTCCGGGCCAGCAGTCTTTGAGCAAGGAAGCTGTGTTGGCCCGGCGGCGGGGATGATGGGGACCGTGGCGGGGAGCGCCGGAGGCCTCCTGCAGGCCTCGGAGGGTGGCGTGATGGAAGGCCGGTGCGCCCGCGGGAGCAGCGCGGAGTCGGAGGCAGCTTTCGGTGGGCGAGGTGGAACTGCCTCGCTGGACGGGGCTTCGCAGTTGATGCCCCCGCCCCCAAGGAGCTGCGAAGGCCTGTGGGGGTCTTGTCCTGCTCGCCCCCCAGTTTATCCCCATGTCACAAAATACTTGTCTGGCTGATAAGAACTTCACAGGCATGTTCTTCATCTTATATCCTTGACTGAACAGTCAGTGACGTTTGCTTTTCAGCTAGCTGTGACCGCCAGAAGGTGTTCTTGGAGCTGGGACAGAGACGCCTGGTCCAGGGGTGGGGAGGGGTCCTCCCTGGAAGCAGATCTGGGGTGGGGGGGCTGTGCAAGGCCGCTCCTGTCAGCCCGGCTGCGGTAGGGGGAGGCTCCCCCGAGGCCACGAGCAGGAGCCACGTGGCACCCGGCAGGCACAGGGGGCGCCGAGGAGGACGCAGGCGTGGGCTGCCCCTGCTCAAGCAGAGCAGCCTGGCAAAGGAAGGAAGGAAGGGGCCTGCTGGCCGGGCCCCCCAGAGGGATGCCGCAAGGCCCGGGGGGCGGGTGGGAGACCTTCAGTTCCCACGAGATGCAGCCCCAGGCTGACCTGCACCTCGTCCTTCGAGCCGCACCATGTGGGGGGGGCGGGCTGTGCTTGCTTCTCCTCGCATGGTTGCGATTCCCTGAAACGGTTTGTGTGGTGGACGCGCCTTCTGTGGGGCTCGGCACTCTGCGTCGTTCGGCTCGGGGGGAAGCTGCAGGGACCTCGACCCGTGGAGGAATCGTAGACTCGGAGAGCAGTAGGCTTGGAAGGGGCCAAGGGCCACCGGTGCAGCTCCCTGCTCCATGCGGGACTCCAAGTCGCACCGTCCCTCTCGGAGGGCCAAGCCCCGAAGCCCAGAGTGCCAGGCGGGGGCTGCACGCCTGGGGCTGAGTGGGGCAGTCCCTCGTAGCCAGGAGAGCCGCGGGCCACCCCTGCGCAGCTCAGCTCAGCTCCCCGAGGGGAGGGGAGGGGAGGGGAGGCACACCCGCTGGACGGAGCAGGGTGGTCCGTCCCTCTCGTTCCCAGCACCACGGTGCGGCCGGCCACACGGAAACGCCCGCCCTGCGAGCCCCCGTCGCCCCGAGTGTCTTGGCAAGTCCCCCGAGGCAGAGGCAGAGGCAGGGCCAGGCAGCTCTGCTCCGCCGTCCCGGGTCCGAGGCTGCCCAGAGCAGCCTGGGCCGGGGGGGCGGGCGGCCTCCTGGCCACGCGGCTGGTTTGTGCCTCTCCAGTGCTGCTTTCTTGGTGCCCCCCGAACGCTGCCGCCCCAAGCAACCTCTGAGGGCCCCCCGTGGCGCAAAGGAGAGAAGGAAGCCTGGCTTGGCCCAGGATGGAGACTGGCTGGCCCAGGAGCCCAGTTTGGGGCCAGCCGTGGGGCTGAAGGCTGGTTTGTGTTGATCCCACAGAACAAGAAGGACAGAGCAAGGGAGCGGGACTAGTTACAAAAGCGGGGAGTGGCCCAGGATTCCTCCATGTAGGTATTCAACGCAAAAGGTATTCTGTACGCCTTAGGGAGCGGAGATGTCCAGCGGTCTCCGCGCACCCTTGCACCCCGACAGCGGGGAGAGTTGGCAGAGGGCGCAGCTACCGGTCTCGAGAGAGCGAGGGGCGGGGAGCCCACCGGTCTTTCTTCCAGGACGGCTTTGGCGCCTGCCGGAGGGACCCAGCCGGCGTCCGTCAGAGACGGGCCCACGCGGCGCGGCCGGCCACGCCTCCGGCCCCGGGAAGGCTGCGTCTTCTCGCCGGCCGCCGGGGGGCTGGAGCGGCACCGTAGCGGTTCTTGGCGGAGCTGTAGGGTCACGGGGGAAGGCGCTCCTCCCCGCAGCCACGGCACGTCCTTCCGCGCGGCCAGGAAAGGGGAACCCTTCTGCTGCCAGGACTCCTCGGAGGGCTGGGGCGCGCGGGGGCGCTCCCCTCCCAGCGGTGCGGTGCGGTGCGATGTGGTGCAGCACAGCTTGGCCTCCCCCTGCCGGAGCCCAAGCCTGACGCGCGTGTCTGGCTTTGCAGAGAAGCTGGACGAGATCTTGGCGGCCGCCGAGCCTTCGCTGAGAGCGGACCTGGCCGAGGCCGACTCCAGGGCAGCCACCGTGAAGCAGCGGCCGACCAGCCGGAGGATTACCCCCGCGGAGATCAGTGTGAGAGAGGCGGCGGGCCGGGCCGGGCCGGGCCGGGGGTGGGGGGCGGCCACTGCGGCGGAGGGGAGGGTGTCCTGGCAGCAGGCCCCCCGCGCTCTGCTTGCCCCGGGTGGAGAAGGTGGCGCGCACAGGATCCCCTCTGTCCAGTGGCGGAGGCGTGGGCCAGGGCTGGGTGTGACGCACGGCGCAAGCCCAGCATGGCGCCGCCCATCGCGGCAGGTGTGCGCCTGGAGGAAAGGGCCTCTCGGGGCTGCTGTGGGAACGGCCCAGGTGCCCTCTAGGGGCATCAAGGGAGTGGCAGCTTGGATCCGCTCCGTGGGTGGGATCGATGGGAAGAGCATGAGGTCTCGGTGAGGATTGTCCGCCCCATGCCAACCCCCCCGCAATTCTGTAAAATGAGGGAAAGCCTGCCTCTTGGCACAGGGACACTCCGCGGGGGGGGCACTGGTGTCGCGTGGCCCCCGTGGCCCTGCACTGGGGCCTGAGGAGCAGCTTGGGTCCTCCCCGGCCGGGGGGGCGGGGGAGCACAGGAGCGACACACGCACAGCTCTGGCCAGCCTGCTGGGGGGGTCCCCACAGGGCCTCCCCAGCAGGCTGCGGAGACCTGACCGGGGGTGGGGTGGGGTACGGGTGGGGGGCGAGTGGCCTCATCTCTGCTGGATGCCAGCAGGCCCCACAGAAGGGCTGTCCGCCTTTCCGGGCTCAGGTTGGGGGAAGAGGCGGTGGCCGCTCCGGGGAACCTCCGAGGCTCCCGGTGCCGTTCCCCAAGGCTTGTTTAGCCCCCGCCACGTGGCCACCGGCGGTGGGGGAGCAGGCGGGGGCCCGGGACCCCCCCCCCGCTTGTAGCGCCTTCCTGCCGACACCGGGTGGGAGTCACTGTTTCTGCTTCTCCTAGTCACTGTTTGAGCGGCAGGGCATGGCGGCGCAGGCCGACTCCGAGAAGCCCCACGTCTCCCTGCGCAAAGGAATTCCGCGGACCAAATCTGTAGGTAAGCCTGGCGTGCCCCCCCCCCCCCCC